TATATATATATATATATAAACCCCTAAAATCAAAACAGACTAGGAATCCAAAAATTCTAAAACCAAAACCAAAACAGACTAGGAATCCTAATACTTATAAAACCAAAACCAAAACAGACTAGGGATGTTGTTTGGCCCAATAACCTGCTACCAATTCTCCACCTCGGCGAAGTGTTCCCAAAACTGAGACGACACAGTGATTCCTAAAACTGAGCCGACACCAACAAGAGAACCACTGTGTCGTCTCTCCAAATCCGGCTGCACCAATGTGGTTGCATACATACCCCCTCTCCCAAGGGTTCAAGTCGCCCATAGTTCATCCAAATGACCTCCAAAGACTTCAACAAGCACAAATCCGCAACAAGTTTCTGCAATGATCAAACTTTTTGTTCGGGATCACCTTTGTGAGCATATCTGCTGGATTGTCTCTTGTGTGGACTTTCACGAGCTCCACATCCCCATCTTCAAGAACATCCCGGACGAAGTGATAACGAATGTCAATGTGCTTCGTCCGTGTATGGAAAACCTGATTCTTTGCCAAATAGATAACACTCATGCTATTATAGTGAATAGTAACGAATCACTACGAAACACCAAGATCCTCCAGAAGTCCTTGAAGCCAAATCGCCTCCTTAACAGCCTCCGTAATTTCCATACACTCTGCCTCCATCATTGATAAAACCACCGTAGACTGCAATGTGCATCTCCAACACACTGGCGCACGACTCAAAATAAACACATATCCCGTCGTCGACCGGCGCTTATCCAAATCTTTAGCATAGTCTGAATCTACGTATCCAATACATAGCTGTCCACTACTAATGTCACACTCAAACACCAAACCAACATTGAGAGTACCTCGAATATACCTCAAAATCCACCTCACGGCATCCTAATGACTCGGACCCGGGTCGTGCATGTATCGTGAAACCATGCTAACTAGCTGTGACAAATCCGACCTCATACATACCATGGCGTACATCAAGCTTCCCACTACGCTCGCATATGGAGTCTTCAATATCAACTCCCTATCTTCAACTATCTTCGGTGAAAGGTCAACTAAAATCTTCAAATGGATTCTCAAAGGTACAATGACTGGCTTCATCTACATGCTCACATTGAATAGCTATAAAACCTTCTTCAAATAAGCTACATGTGTCAAACTAATTCTACCATTATCTCTATCTCTACCAATCTCCATCCCCAAAATGCACTTCACGTCACCCAAATTCTTTATCTCAAACTCACTCGAAAGCTGAATCTTTAATCTATCTATGACAGATCTAGAAATAGAAGCAACCAATATGTCATTGACATAAAGTAATAAGTAAAATGTACGTACCTTCATGCAACTTGCGATAGTACACGCAATGATCAAACTATCTCCTAATGTACGGATGGCCGATCATGAACCCATCAAATCACCTATACCATTGTCTCGAAGATTGCTTCAACCCGTATAGTGATTTATTCAATCTACACACCAATTTTCCCTTTCCGACAGTTCGAAACCCTAATGTCTAAGTCATATAAATTTCTTCATTAAGATCACCATAAAGAAAAACTATTTTCACATCCAACTGGTCTAATTCCAAATCATACGGTGCCACCAAAGCTAGTAAGATCCAAATCGAAGAGTGCTTCACCATCGGAGAAAAGACTTCATTGTAGTCAATGTCTTCTTCCTATGCATAACCCTTCACAACCAATCTAACCTTAACCTCATAGGAGTGCCCTGAATGCCCTCCTTATTCGTATACATCTATTTGCAACCAATAGCCTTCCGCCCATTTGGAGCTCAACAAGCTCCCATGTGTCGTTCCTATGAAGAGACTTCATCTCCTCCTGCATAGCCTCCTGCTACAAATTAGCCTCTGAACTCTGCTCAGCCTCTCTGAATGTAGTAGGAACCATCTCGTCGATACTCTCCACCGGAAGAGCATATGCAACAAATGTGTCTGTATATCTCGCTGGCAACTGTATGTCTCTCCTCGGTCTCTGAACTGCAATCGAATCTTGAACCTAAGCTGTCGGTCCCTGATCCTGCTCTGTCGTACTTGTATCCTCTAAATCATCACTGTGGTCACCTAGCATCACCTCAATTGGCACTCTAATGCATACGGTCCTATCTGGATTCTATGGAGCTGCATTAATCTCCATCACCTGTGATATCTCCTCTGTCGGGATGCTCTCCACCTGATGAGAGCTGGTAGGCTTCAAGAGCAAAACCTTATCGAATGTGACATCTCTACTCAGCATAATCTTTTTCTTAACTGGATCCTAAACCTTGTATTCTTTTATATCACGCTTGAATCCTATAAATATGGCCTTCCTATCTCGATGTTCCAATTTATCAGTTCTAACATGATAAAATGCAGGGCACCCAAATACCTTGATCTGATCATAATTATGTGCTGGCTCTCCCGACCACATCTCCATAGGGGTTTACCCCTCAATCGTAGATGAATGCAGCCTATTAATGAGGTGGCTCACATATGTAAGTGCCTCAGCGTAAAAGATCTTCTCTAAATCACTCTGCGATAATAAACATCAGACCTTCTCCAGTAAAGACCAATTCAGTCTCTCTGCCACCCCATTCTGCTATAGTGTATGACTAACTATGAAGTACCCCTCTATACTTTCGTCTTGGCATAGCTGCTAAAAGGGGTCTGAAGTGTACTCGTCATCGTTGTTGGATCTCAACGTCTTGATCTTTCTCCATGTCTGCAGTTCCAATTTTCTCTTCCACTTCACAAATAAGTCTAGGACTTCACTCTTCTTCATCATAGTGTACACCTAATAACACCTAGAATAATCATTAATAAACGTGATGAACCAATATCGACCACTAAGTGATGCCATCTTGGTGGGGCCCTAAACATCCGTATGCACGTAGTCCAAGATAACTCTCGTCCTATGAACAACTATCTCAAACTTTACCTTAGTCTTCTTGCCAAGAACACAATGCTCACAGAATTCAACCTTCCTACTCTTGTCTCCATTCAATAGTCTCTGCTTGCACAACACCTGCAGTAACATTTTACCTGTGTGCCCAATCTATAATGCCAAAGTCTGCTCGTGTCTACCTCTGAAACAGCTGAAGCTACCTGACCAATCTAGATACTTCCCTTTAGATAATAAAAATTCCTACCGTGGACTCCCTTCATCACTACCAAAGATCTCTTAGCAACTTTTGCTACAGCACTATCAAAAATAACCTTGAATCCCTTTACCTCCAAAGCACCAACAGAAATAAGATTTTTCTTCAACTGAGGAACAAATCTCACTTCATTCAATTCACGAACAACTGCATCGTGCATCCGAATCCTGATAGTACCTATCCCACAAATGCCACAAGGCTGATCATTTCCCATGACCACCACACCCCTATCGAGCTTCTCGAAAGATGTAAACCAATCTCGTCGGGGAGTCACATGATAAGTTTCACCAAGATCCAGCATCCAATCTGATGCATTAGCATGGTTAACCTTTAGAGTAATTAATAGAAAAAAGCATGAATCATTTGAATCGTTACCACACTTAGCAACATTCACCTCGCTGGCCTTCG